CTGTTTTATGAACACAACGCTAAAAAAAACCATATTTGTTATTTCCTCCGTTTCATATTATAATACTTTCTAGTAATGCCCACATTCATATATATGCTAATGAATCTAGACATATATGTATATGTGTACCTAAGATTCATTAATATCTATATGAATGTGGGCAATGGTAGAAAGTCTTATAACCTGAAACGGAGGTAGTATAAGATATCGTTATTACCTTATAATAAAAAAGTATCTACATTGTCAAATAGACCCTAGATAATATGTTAGATGATAATAATTTCTCCCAGATTCTAATAAAAATGACGGCACCCGGTTACGTATAAATTCCCATATTATCAAGACTACTTATTATCATTGTTTTGAAACCCGGGCATATTTAATAGATGAAATTGCATATGTCCTATCACCAAAATTAAGCCTAATACATTATTAATATACTAAAAGGTTTACCATTAATCTGAGTGTTTGGGTCTCACTTATTTCCAAATCCATATATAATTATTGCAAGAATCCCACTTCTATAGGTTAATGGAATAACACCGTTAAAATTTGACATAAATACCCCTCTAACGGGTGAAGCTTGCCATAGCCGCCAAGGCTTTCTTTCTCCATTACCTTGAAAAAGGGGTCACGCATCCATGTAGCCATGTCACTTAAACCTGGCGTTGAGGACAATTATCGGCATGCTCGTAGAGGATTACAACGGTAAGTAGAAAGTTGAGCACTATTACCAACAGTGACCTCCAATAGGGCCACCTAAACTCAGCCATATGTATGCCTTTGCTGATGCTTACAACAACGTAGCAAGTTTTCTCATCCATGTTTGATGTCCTTCAACGAAGGACAAGAGAGATGATGGAGATGATAAACATAGTTTTTCTCACAGAAATAGTTTTATTTACGTTTTGAGTAGATTTGTGGTATAAAGTAGACATGATTTGTTTATAATGTTAATCGGTACTATTTAATATTTTTTATGGATACAATATTCTCTTTTGAAGATAAGCATGGTTGATCATTCGACTGTGCTTAAAAAACTATACATAAAGAGACATATCACGATGATAATCTAAAAAGCATCCTATCATTAGTATTTATATTTTGACCTAGATCCTTTTTTTGGCAACATTTGCTTTTAACACATGTTGTTCGTAATAATATGAAAAACTTTCACTAATTCCAAGAATATATTTATTTTCTCAAACTTATTTACATAATTAATTTGTTCAAGTGCACTTATAGGCATCGTTCGTTCTGGTGAGATAGGGGAGATTGAGTCTCGTTTACCGCGCGCACGCTTTTCAAACTACTAAACGGTGTTTTTTTTGCAAAAAATTTCTATAGAAAAGTTGCTTTAAAAAATCATATTAATTCATTTTTAAAATTTAAAATAGTTAATACTCAATTAATCATGAGCTAATAGCTCACCTCGTTTTGCGTATCTTCCCAATCTCCTCAATCCCCTTCTCCTCAAACACTCCCATAGTCAAGTTAGTGGGGGATATGGCATACATATAGCAATTATGCCCGACATATTAGAATTCATCAACAATAATAAAATATATCATGAGTAGTTTAATGTGCATGCTATTGGACTGCTCATTTGTAGCTAAAACTATTCTGCATAGAAAAATCATACATATAACCATCATAATCCTTGTTATGGATTAAGGTGCTTGTGTTATAGAAAGATCATTGACTCGAAATATTTTTTATAGTATTTTTCACATTACCTTGTATTTAAGAAAGAATTTTCCAGGTGATAGAAAACTTGGGAGCAAAGAAGGGATTGGGTAAAACTTTAGGGTCACATAGAAAATTTTCTCTAAAATATGTTGTGAAATTATTTTAAAAAAATATCATGACATTAATTATTTTATGTTGGTCTTATGTGTCCTGATGTATTTAGCATTATAATATCATTACTATAAGTCCACGGTAGTTCATTTAATTAGAGGAATACAATATGATCACAAATTGAATATCTGATTCAAAAATAATTTAAAACATGGACGTATGTTTAGAAGTAATATGTTTTATTTTTATATTATAGAAAATTATATAGACCGTCCTTTTTTCCCCATGATACTAACACGCGTATACATGTTTTATTTGGGCTTTAACTTTTTCTACTCGCACGTACTACGTATGGTATTTTGGGTTTTTTGGCTGGTGAACAGTACATCGGCTTTAATTATTTTTTATCGTAAGTAAATACGTTGTTAAATTTTCCCAGCGAAATAGTTACGTATTTTGTTTGTATATATACACGGGAGATTTGGTGGAAGGGATTAATTTTGTTCAATAGATCTAATCTAATGGTGTATACTAATGGGCCCACCAGTTTAAATGAAAATCGATGGTGAGATGGTTTGCTTTTCTATAAATTATTAGAAAGTGCCACGTGGCGGCCTAGGAATGTCTGTAGGAGTCCACGTGGCCGCTTGAGAGCGTTTGTAGGAAGTTTAATGGACTTTTAGTATATAATAGATAGATAGATTCCCATTGACTCGGAAACAATTTGGATGTGGGACCAAAACCATTGGAAAGGTTATCTTCTTAGCTTTCCATCCATATAAAGAACGCCCCAATCCGAGCACGTATGCGACCTGGGCACCCGTTTTAGTGTAGACTAGTCATGGACTCTGAATTGCACTCGAAGTCGGCTTGGTTTGGGCCTCCACCTTGACTTGCATGTCCTTGATGATTCTCCATGGCTCTAAGTCCTTCTCCAAGTGTCTCCTTGTCCTCTCCATTGTTGCTAATCACAATATAATCATTAGGTAGCAATCTATTCTCAAATTCATACAAAGAAGAACATAGGAATGAGCTCACCTCTAAATTCAATTGTCGCGTGCGAGCTCTTGTTATCGGTCCTTGAATGACCGTTGGAGGATTGTTGTGTGTATCCGAAGGAGTGATGTCCGCATCGCTAGTTGTAGTATGGATATAAGTGAGACAACACACAACTTTTCTTTCTTAGAAGAAACATCAAGCAAATTGTTTTATGACAAAGGTATTTCAACAGTTGTTTCCAATATGGGTTGCTCTAACGTAACATATGTAGTGGGCATATTTCGTACATCATAACTATTCATACCTTGAGTAAATGTCGCACCATTATCATCACCATTGTTCTCATCTTCAGAAATTGTTGGCGCTTGCTCAATTAAACTTTCTTAAAGCATGCATGGAGCAACGAGTAGGCCTTCTTCCTCTATGCCTTTCTTCTCTTCCTCTTTATCCTGGTTGTTCTCAAATACCTAGAAAATGTTAGTAAATCCAAAACTCATGCAACAAGTGGCGGTTATGGCACTGTTGCAGCGGTGGATGAAGGTCGTGTACTCACTGGCGGTGGTGTAGTATGAAAATGAAGGCTTAGCTAGTCCAGTAATGTTAATCTTTCTTGGCATGCAGGATGTGCCAAAATTTCTCTGGTTCTTTCGTTGATGTTCCTGCAACTCGTTTTCTACAAGCATAGCAGGCTGGAATAAACTATTGATAGTAGTAAATTCTTTATTATAAACAATATCCTGAATTTCGCTCCTCAACCCACCATAAAAACGACCAATTGTATCCCCTGCTTCATCTACTACTCCGTAACATATCATACACTTTTGAAGCTCGAGTAGTATTTATGAACAATCATATCAACTTGATATTAATGTTGTAATTTCTTATGCAAATCACGCTGGTAAGAAAGAGGAACAAATCTATTACGCATGACATCTTTTAGCTTATTCCATATAGCAGGTTGTAAGTGGATATCGCTTAGATCATTCCACTAGATTATTGCAAAGTCCTTGAACACACTAGTAGATTGTCTAAATCTATGTACCTTAGGAACTAGGTGTGAGTTAAACTTTTGTTCTACTATCATCTCCCAATCAAAGTATTCCTCAGTATCACAAGCACCAGAAAATGATGGAATACTAAACTTGACTTTAACAAAATTATTACTTTCCATACATTGACGTAGTTGTTCATCTTGTGTTGCTTCATGGCCAACCTCTCCATGTTCATGGGTACTATATCAGAGGAGTAGAGAGCCATTGAACTCGTGAAGTCTATCGTTTAGAGTAGCTAACCATTTTTTCTCATGCTCAAGGGAATTGGTTATGTCTAACTAGGTAATAGCCACTACTGGAAAATTAACTATTGCCACATAAATATTGCAACGATGTATAAATTGTTGCAATTAGTTACACTGTAGCCACAATTTTATTTTTTGTGGTATTTATAATAGTATATCACCACAATATATAATTGTTGTAATAATAGTATATCCACCCTTTTCATCGCTTGGTCTATTGTACCTTGTATCTGAGTGCGACTGACACACTCGTTGAAATCCTTAGTGTTGCTAACTCCTCCTCACATTTTTAGTGAAAACACAGAAGAGTAAAGAAAAACTCAAAGAATTACCCCTATCAATTGCAAGGCAAGAATTGAACTGGAGGCTAGCAAATGGAAGCATATTTCCAAGCTATGACAAAGTTCTTACCAACAATGCTAATGACGGTCAGCGAAATATTTTGGGTGTAATTTTGGGAAATTTTTCTGTGAATTTTTTTTTCAAGTACAATAACAGATCCAACTCTTCATTATGAAATTATGGAGATTTTTTAAATATAATGTGAATTATTTTTAGGGACTTTTTTCAGGTTGAAAATGATTACCATAGACAGGCAACCTAAGATGCCTGCCCGTGGAAATCATTTTTCACAAGTGGGTGATCTAATTTGCCTGACTGTGAAGTTTGATTTTCAGTGCCGGCTGTTTCCTGCCTACAAAATTGATGATTTCTGCGCTCGTCTAGATATAGGCGGACCGTCGATCTAGATACTTCGATGAATGGAATAACACTTTGTTTCATAAAGAATCTAATAAAGTATCTATGATTGCAATAGCACATGACTATATCACCAAATCCTAGTAAACATTTTCTTCGAAAGGAACATACTCTATTGTCAAAATGACATGTTCAACAATTCCGGAAGTCACATTTTTCTAGCTATAATATTTGGCCGGGTAGGCGGGCCATGGATCTAGATACTTCTATGAAATAACACTTTGTTTCATAAAGTATCTATGATTGCAATAGCACATGACTATATCACCAAATCCTAGTAAACATTTTCTTCGAAAGGAACATACTCTATTCTCAAAATGACATGTTCAACAATTCCAGAAGTCACATTTTTCTAGCTATAATATTTGGCCGGGTAGCCATTGACACCGCTAATCCAAACTTCTCAGCCATGTCTAAACCATTCCTGTTCACCATTTGAGGCATTGTCCATTTAAATTGGTGCATAAGCGAGCCAAGTATCATGTGCAGCATTCGGTTGGCAAGAGGCAATCCAATGCAAATGTGCCTCCCTGAACCAAATGGAATGAATTCGAAGTGTCTACCTGCAAAATCGATATCTTTTGTAATGAATCTCTTGGGGAGGAACTTTTCTGGTTGTATCCAAACTTTAACACTTTGATGAATAGCCCATGCATTCACTATTACTTTGCTCCCTTTGGGGATTGTATGTCCTTCTATTTCTACTGTCCTCTCTGCCTCGTATAGTCGCAAAGGCACAATTGGGTGTAGCCGTAGTGTTTCTTTAACAATTGCTTGGAGATAGGGAAGTTGGCCAATGTCAGATTCTTCAACTTGAGATCTAGTGCCCAGAACCATTTTTATTTCTTGTTGTAACGTTTTCATGATTTCAGGATTTTGAAGTAACTCTGCCATTGCCCACTCTACAGTAGTTGCGGTGGAGTCACTCCCCCCAACGAATAAATCCTGAAATTCATTCAAATTGATGATTACTGCACAGTTTATTTCAACATATATACAATATGTACAGTTATTGAAGTTCCGATCTAAGGGCGGATCTACAGTGTCAATGCCGGTATCAGGTGATATCGACGACTTCAGCATATATGGTTAAACTGCTTGTCTATATATTATAACACTATGATATAAGTATGATGAGTATACTACAATATTGATAGGCACCTTATGACACTAACGAACCAATTTTTTTTGATCCGTCACTGTTCTGATCGGACTGACAATATGTACATATCAGTGAAAATCAATTAAAACAACAAACGTAATATATATGTCCATTTAGAATTTACAAATAACCATTTTGAACGACTGTGTTTGACTCCTTTTAGGTGTAACAAAAACCTTGTGTTTTTATTTTCATTCCAAAATGTAGTTATGTAGAACATGTATTTTTTCAGTGGTCAGAGTTCGGGAGTTCTTTTACTTACCGTGAGCAACGCCCTCATCAAATCACGGTTTATCACCTCGTCGTCGCCATCTTCCCGCTCTTGCTCGGACATGTCAAGGAGCACGTCGAGCAAGTCCATGGCCTCGCCGCCGCGGCCGCCGCGCAACTCCCTGCAGCGCATCCGATGGTCGATCTGCGCGTCCACCAGCCGGTACGTGTTCTTCATCAGCTCGGCGAGCCTGCGACGCAGGCCCTGGAGGTCGAGCGCGGCGACCGCCGGGAAGAAGTCCGAGACGTTGGGCGTCCCGAGGAGAACGGCGGCCTCGCGCGCGACGTCGCAGAGCACGTCGAGCGTCGCCGCGTCGAGGCGGGTGGAGAACACGGAGCGCCACAGCAGCTCCACGTTCGCCGCGAGCGCCAGGCGCCCCACGTTGACCGGCGCGCCGCCGCGGTGGTCCGCGCGCTCGGCGACGCGCCGGAGGAGGCCGCCGACGATCTCGTCGCGGAGCGGCGCCAGCTCGGCGAGCTTCCGCCGCGAGAACAGGTGCGCCGCGCCGAGCTTGCGCAGCAGGCGCCACTTGCGGCCCGGCGGGAGGACGAACACGGAGTTCTCCGCGTGGCCGCCGGCGTGCCACGCGTCCTGCCGGCCGCGGCCGGCGAGGCTGGCGTTGTGCGTCTGGAGCACCGCGCGGGCCGTCGCCGGCGAGGAGGCGACGACGCAAGTCGCGGCGCCGAGCCGGACGGTCATGAGCGGGCCGTAGCGCTCGGCCAGGCGCGCGAATGAGCGGTGGGGGAGGTCGCCGATGTCAAGGAGGTTGCCGATGAGCGGCAGCGGGCATGGGCCGGGGGGAAGACGGCGGCGAGCGGCGGCGATACGTTGGAGGAGGTGGGAGAAGAGGACGAGCAGGAGTGAGAGCATGATGCTTACAAGCAAAAAGGAAGCCATTTTCGATGAGGCGTTGGCGACTTGGCGATCGAGTTGCCGACCAGCAAAATGCACTCATGCATTTATAGGCGAAATGAACGTACGTACATACGTGGTTGAATGTTCTAAAAATAATAATTAAAAGAAAAAGAAAATACGTGGTTGAACGGCACACGGTTAGCGTGGCAATGGCTACCGATAGTAATTAAAAGATTCAAAGGCGATGACCGACCTGGTTTTTTTATGTTTTGAGACTGAGAAGGACTAGTGAGATATGATTTGACCATGTTGCTCCATCTACTTGAAATATTAGTAATAATTTAAATGATTTGATGCTGTGTTCGGTTCACATTGCTGGGAATGATCATTACGAAACAACTCGTTAGTCATTAACTAATTAATTATTAACTTTTTTAAAATAAAAAAATAGACTAATATGATTTTTTTAAAGTAACTAAAAGCTATAATTTTTTTAAAAAAACATACCTTTTAGCAAACTGTGCACATGAAAAATAAAGTAATAGAGGTTACGAACGAAAAAGTGAAAAACAAAGTCTTTGATAGAGGTATTAAATAGGGGTCAAAAACTTATATTGTCTCCTGAATTGGAATGAATGAGAGAGGTCCGTACTTCTTTGGATTATAATAAGGTCAAATTCAAGAAGTAGTAGCAGGTATTATTTGTAGTTTAGTGATAAAAATCATCTTATATTTACAATAAAATTTAAATTATTTTAATTTAGGATGGAGGGTTGTAATAATATTAGTGACATTCCAATAAGCCTATATAGAGTTGTACCATATGGATTAACTGTGTCACGCGCTTTAAGAACACCATAGCAAAGCAAACAACTCATTTAGCGGTAGAAGCCTATAAGAATGTTTGATGTTAAAAGAGAAACAAACATATAGAGACAACTGGAATGGCACGGTTGATAACCTTTTCTAATCTATTTTTTAATTTATAAGTATACAATATTTGAATTCATTATCCCTATAAATGATTATGGTCGTTTTAACTTCAAGTAAAATAAGTGGTTTATCTGTGTAATCATCCGCCTAAAGCGCGAGGTCGTCCTTCAGCTTATTGAATATATAATTAAAGATCCTATTTCACTATTATAGAAACGGTTTTAAAGTGGCTAAAACTGATCTTCACATAAGGTTGGTCGGCGACAATTGAAGATTGAAATGCAAAAAAGACTTCAAATTAAAATGTTGTCAATCAACATCATAGATCTGGTCACCACATACAATTTTTCTATGAACTTGTTTAAATCCGAGTTTTATGACAAAGTTAGTTTCATATCTGAAACCAACAACTAATATTGTTATTATCATTATATAGTTGCCGGCTCGTAGCTAGAACGACATAAGTCACTTGTTAGTGCCGGATTGTATCTAGAATTTACACCTATAACCTCAACTCAAATCCTCTATTTTTATGTAGTTGCAACACACTCAAATCCTCTATTTTAACTCCTATAAAACCTATTATGCAAGTGGCCATAACACTTTCTCTAATTTGAGTCATCCTGATCGTTTGATTAGCCATACACCCATGCTGCGTGACAAACTTGTAAGCATTTCAAACGCTTTGAGTAGCACAATCCAAATTATTTTTGCATGTCTATGTTTGGTATTTTTATTTCAAGTTCTGAAGATGTTTATAACCATAAAGTCTTGCAAAAATGCTCGGGGGATCAACTGTTTTAAAATTTCACAACCAAAAACTTATTAGTGTGGTTATAATAACAATGTAGTAGCACTAATGAGTGAGATAATAGTGCTGGCTAGTTACACAAACCAATACCGATTATCCCTCCATAATAAGTATCGATTGTTCACTAGAATTTGGCACTGGTTTGGTGCCATCAGTGCTAGTTCTTGTCTGCAGAGCGCACATGGTTTGAGAGGACATGTAGTGGCGCTATGTTTTATCCAATAGACAGTTAGACACTATAGAGGTGGCACTGATAGGTTGTTATGTTATAATGTGTTTTATTCTATTTATTTTTATTATAGATATTAATTATTTTTCTGTAAACTCACAGAAAGTTAATAAGCTTCTTCGATTTACCGCAAAACTACATCTTACATACATTACATACGTAGAACGACGAAGGGTGTAATTTGGTAGTTTGCAGAAATTGCCGAGTGTCGGTTCCATCAGATGATCAGATCTGCTCTGTCGCCCTCTCCACCGTCCACGTACGTGCTTCTCACACTGCTGTCAGCAGAGGTGCCTCTATTGCTCCACACGGCTTCACGTATATACACGGAATCTATGACGCGTAAGTAATCCAACTGTTTTTTTTTTTCCCCTGCACGGCTTGATCTGCCCAGATCACTTTTGATTCAAGTTAATTATGTGTATAGTACGTATATTGCCGATTCGTGCTTGAATTATAAAATACTTTAATCTAGTATAAGTCATTGACTTAAGTTATTAGCGGCTTCACACGTGTATATATGATGCAATATAATATATTATATTGTTTAGTTTATTACGTGCAAGTACTAACATTAATTGCTCTCCAATGTTCGAGGAACACGAATTTAGAAATACACATTTGGAACGTGCTTTGTGTGTTTGGTTAACTTCAAAATTGTACATATAGAACAATCAGATGCTCCAATAATTAATCACTATTCCGCAGCTCGCGATCCTTTCCCAGAGAGATGTATATCATCTGCCCTCACACTGTTGTCCAGCAACTCAACGTGTTCCCACTAACTGGTCAGCCTCTAATGCGGAGAAGTACGCATACACTTCTAAAAAACTCTAATAGGTAACGGCACATAGGTGATAGTTTATTTAAAACCAGCACCTATATACCTTTTCGTATCTTGACGGGGTGAAACGGGTACCTTTGAATACTATAGGTTCTGTTTATACAGTAAAAACCAACACCAATGCTGTAGGTAATGATTTTATAAAAGAAACGTCTCCTATAATATTTTATATGTATTGGTTAATTAAAACCGACAACTACAGTACAATAGGTACCGGTTTCTAAAAAATTGGTACCCATAAAATCCAAACTGAGCCAAGCCAGGGTAGCCAAGTGCACGCGTCGACCTTATTCACTCATCCACCGGTCGCTCCCCTCTCCCTCCCCCCTTCTTGTCTCCTCTTTCTTCGCTCTTATCGGGCTTCTCTCATTCTTCGCCCCATCCTCAACTCCCTCTCCGTCCACTGCCCCTCCTCTCTCCCTCCCCCCTCCCTAGCCACCTCCCCCTCCTCTCCACTCTCTCTCCATCCAGCGGGAGCCCTCTCCTCTCCACTAATCAGCTTCTCCTCAGTGAGGGCCCTAAGGATCTGGCTGGTGTGGAGACAATGGTGACGACGGTGGCTGTGGGCAGCGGCGACGGCGGTGGTCAAGGATGGTGCTCCTGCCCAACGACGTCACGCTCTGCCTGTCCATGCCCCTCGCCGCGGGGCGCAACCGCCACGACGCTTAGTGTGCAACTGAGTGCAGTAGTACTAGGACTCTGGACAAAGAAGGAAGTTCATATGCATTGCTAGAATAGTAATTAATGACTTAGGCATGGTGTTTAGGTTTGAAATTATCTTTGTTGTTGTGTACTCCACGGAAAGTGAGGTAGGCGGTACGTGGTGATAGCCTTATCCGTCCCATGTATCCCTCTATGTTCGGCACATCGTAGAGCTCAAGACCAGACTTGACCTGGTAGACCAGTGGAGGGCCGGTGCCTAAAGCATATGGTAAAGTTTTACTTTTAACTTAAGTAGCTAATTCAAAGACATAGGAATCCTCTCTAACTAAACAATCATCAGTTGTTGTCCTTTGATTGAATTATGTTCATAGGTAGTACACACACGTTTCTCATGTTCGATACCTTAGAATACTGTAAGGGTAAGTGCTACAACGGTATTCGTGTACTTGCAGATTTTTCTGCGATAGTATCAAATACCAACAATAGGAAAAACTAACGGCTTCATCTTTTCGCTTATGCTTATCCGTATCGACCAAAATTTTAATTTTTAACTTTAAATTTGGAGTTGATTTTGTAATTCTTTTTTCATCATAGTTTATTCTTCAGCCTTTGTTTTTAGATCATTTAGAACACATATATAAAATTTCTATTCAAAATTAGTTTTCATTTGCAAATAGATTGTTTCGCTTTTTACTCTTACCAGGTAAACGATGGGGTTGTAAAATTTTAAAAATATTTTCACCTCTCTACTTTTTTATTTTTTCTGTCTACCTAAGAGAAGAAAAGATGTTTTTCTATGTGATTTTATTTCTGTCTACTAATAGGTAAGCGCCATCAATGTATGCTATGTCAGCGCACCAAATAGGTTAGAGCCCGTTTAAATCTACATGACATCCAAGATAAGGTTATTTAAATCTACATGACATCCAAGATAAGTTTATGAGCAGCTCATGCACTTCACCTTTTATTTTAGTTCAAAGTAGTATGGTTCATCTGTCATACAGAAATAAAATGGCCATGTGAGTCGTTAGATATACGTCTTATTGTTCTAATAATGAAAGACGAAGTTATCGATGTCTATGAGACAAATAAACACTCTCCCAATTCTTAGGAGATATGTTCTCTGTAACTGTAAATTGAAAAGGAAAAAGTACGAATTACCCATAAACTATCGAGGTCGATCGAATTAGCCCCCTAAACTCAAATACCACACATTTTATATCCTTAACCATGCAAACCTGATAAATAACCCCCTTAACTCAAACCAGTGGTTTTTTGGTACTACGTGGCAATTAATTTTTTTAAAAAAATGTTGGTGAGCCCCATATGCCATATGCTCACCCTCTCTATCTCTTTCCTTAATCCCCAATTCCCCATCATCTCTCTCTCTCTTCTCCCTTCCCTCACCTCCATCTCTCTCTCTCACCGAACCGGGCTATGAGGACCAGGCCGATGGTACCGCACAGTGGCCAGTGGTAGGAGGTGCTCGAGCCCGTGCGAGCACAGCCGCGGGCAGCGATAGAGGCAGCAACCATCGTGCGTCTTGTGGCCAACAATGGCACACGCTAGGGGGCAGAGATGGCTAACAAAAGTTGCGGTGGCAGTGTTTCCGGGGAGGAAACGGGTCTGCGGTGGTGGCGGATGGCAATGCGACAGGCGGCGATGGCGCATGGATCAAGCGACATCGACAACCAGGAGGGCGGCGGGGCAAGCTGCACATCCGCCGCCGGCTGCCTGGGCAAGCTCCGCCTCAGCCACCGGCCGCCCGGGCGAGCTTCGCCCACCACTGCCGCCGGATGCCCAAGCGATCTTCGCCCACCTCCACTTGCGCTTGAGGTAGCTTTGCCGTCATAGGTGTTGTCCCTCTTCGTGTATTGGAGAGATCGGTGCTACCAGTGGAGAAAGAAGGTGAGCAGACAGGAAAATCGGGTCTAGCCCTCTCCTTATGACGCAGTCGAGTCGGGGAGACTTCTCCTCTGGTGATGATGACAAGAGCTCATCCCCTACGGTGAAGGAAGTGGGTGCATATTGGCGTGGTTGCCCAGCTCACGCCCGAGGATGCCAATGCCATCGCTAGGTGAAGTGCCTCACCACGAAGCAAATCTGGGCCCTCTATCATGTTGACACCGTTCGACAGCGATGACACGGGAGAAAGGTGGCGAGGCGGTCAGCGTCTAGTCACCGCCCTCATGTCGAGCCCCACCTCCTATAGCCGGTTGCCGCCCCTATTCCCAGCCTTGCATCCGGCCGTCTCCCTCATGCCAAGCCCCGCCTCTTTCAGCCGGCCACTGCCACCATTCCCATCCGCGGAGAGAGGGAGGGGAGAGATGATACTGGCTAGAGGGAGAGAGATAGTTGGGAGAGAGGAGAAAGGAAACGAAAGGTGGGCCCTATAATTTATTATTATTATTTTTGTTGATTGGATTGTCACGCCGTCCAAAATAGTCCTAGGGGGTAATTCGTCTTGTTTAGAAAGTTCGGGGTTAAAAATATCTGATATTTGAGTTAGGGGTAATTCGGTCGATCGTCTTTGAAATTGAGGAGGGTAGTTCATACTTTGAAATTCCAATTGAAAATTATGTTTAAACTTTCTACCCGTGTAGACACACGTTACTGTCCTCCGTACGTCTCCGAACGAAAGAAAACGCCATGTCAAGTACTATCTTCAAGCAGGGTTCAAAATTTCGGATCAAAATTTCTGAAATTTTGGTTCTAGCGCCGCCACCCCACCCTCCCGGTATGATAGTATTTCTGGCACCCCCGTTATAAATGACCAAACTGAAAGATTAAACCATATCTCCAAGGAGGATAGATAATACTCGTCGTTTTAAATCAGGCCTATATCAACCTTTAAAATCTTTAAATATAGATAATAGTTAAAATATTTATCTTAAAAATATGGAGATTTAATTAACAAATAATTTGGTTGATATATTTATATACTAACAAAAATACGTTGCAACGAGTGAAAAAATTCTAATGATAATATACGCTTTTTATGCATAACCATGGCAATAATAACGTTTGTATGGATTGTTTTAGAACAATCAGAAAACTGGAACATCTAATGTAATGACCCAACCTTAACGATGGCAACCTTACCGATGCTTGCTTTACCTAAAATAATTGAATTATTCATGTGACAACATGCATATTATCTAAAATACTCTTTCAATCTCATTCTTGCAACCAATAATAGAATCAATCAAATCATACATTACCTCGCATAGTCAAGTCTACACAAAATAGAGTCACTATGAACTATTCTCTAGATAACAATTAAATATATGTTTATTTTTTTCATATTATTTCCATATAATATGTTATCAAGAATAGTAGCTTTACTTAACAAAAATAGTCCGATAATTGCCTATAGAGACATGCAGGGTCTCCAATACAAAAGAATAGATGATGAAACAAAAGCCTTGTAGGAGATGAAAAAAAATCGATGATCCTATCCGATCCAAGCGTCCATCAATTTAGTGTTTTTTTTCACAGTTTTTTTAGAGCGGTTTGTTTTTTTTTATAAATGGTGTTTTCTTTTTCTTGCGTGGTTTTTTCAAACAATTTATTTTAGAAATGGCTCCTTTCGTGACTTTTTTCTTCGCATGTTATTTTTTTTTGTTTTTTTACGGATGATGGGAATATTTTTTCTCACACATTTTTTTTACATTTTTACGGACAATGGAAACCTTTTTTTCTAGCGCTTTTTTTTGCTTTCTGACATTTTTTTCTCATGTGTTTTTTCTCACGCGTTTTTTGTAAACCGATTTTATTTTTTGGTGTATTTTTTGTTTTTTAGCGCACGATGGAAACTTTTCTTTTTAAAATAGTTAGATTTGATTAGAGATAGAGAAGAGTCATATATTAGATTAGATTAGAGATAGAGAAGATATACACACGGATGATGAAAACGGATATTCGGACTTTTTTTGCCGTGCTTTTTACCATACATTCGGACTTATTTTTTTGCTCTTTTTTTATTGAGTAAATTGCATTTATGGTATACGAACTTGTGTGGTGGGTGCAAATAGATAGAACAACTTGCAAACTGCATATTTCGGTACAACAACTTGTGTAGTCCATATAAATTAAGGCCAAAATAGTCAGTGTATTTGAAAATAACATGATGTGGCACTGGAACTATGCGGCTGAGGAGACAATTAGTTGCACACCGTAGTAATGGCAAGAAGATGGGTTGCAGTAGTGGAAAGAAGCACATATCCTGTAATACCAAAGTAGTAGTTTCTAAGACTGGAACAACTAGAGTGGCTGGTGATGAGACTGATCAACGACAGAAGTGTAGATGCCAGCTTCATCTCATACAAGTTGTTACTAGCAATAGCACATACTAATTGCCACGTATTAAAACGGTAGTGTAATGGCCAATCGACCCTTCACCAATATCTCTGAGCACTTGTAGCTAGTCAGCGATTTAGGTCCATGTTGCATTGAACTATGTCAGGGATGGGTGAGTGTAATAGAATGCACGAAACAAAATTTCCATATGCTTATGATTTTATAACTTTAATTTGTGAAGAAGACGCAAACATGAACTGAAACGAGCCAAGAAGGAAAGCGACATGGCATCCGTGTCAACGCCACATCAAATTATTTTGAATGCATGGTCTGTTTTGGCCTGGTTTGCACGGACTAGACAAGTTGTTATACTAAAATGTACAATTTACAAGTTATTGTATCTATTTGCACCCACCACGCAAGTTTGTGTATCGTGAGTTGAGTGCAGTTTACTCTTTTTTATTTTAGACAGAGAAACCTTTTGAATTTTTTAAGTAGTAGAGATAGAGATAGATATATATATTATAATAAGAAATAGTGGTCAAAAGTTGTTTCATGTACGTCTTTGTCCGAAACAACGAATGTTATAACCCGGAGGTACAAGACGATGCAAGTTACACCTCAAGAAACCGGTATGGTATTGACAAACGAGAGGGCGATGCTGGTGTACTGCTTGGCCATCACCACACCGGCGATCAACTCCCTCGCGGCCGGCGACACGGCGGCGCCCGTGGACGAGAGCGCGTCGGCGCAGTTGGCCTCGTTGGTCATCGCGGCGCTGAGCCACGTCTTCGCGTTGGACACCGCCCACCTCGCCTGGCTCCCCTTGGCGGCGTCCCCCATGGCGTCGAGCCTCGCGAGCTCGGCGGCCGTCTCCTTGGCGTGGCCGGACGCCGACGACGACGCGCTCGCGCAGTCGCGGATCTCGGCGGCGATCGCGGGGGCCTCGCCGGGGACGCCGTGGGCCACGAGCTCCTTGGCCCGCGCCGTCAGGTTCTTGAGGCTCGCCGCGTTGACGTCGGCAGCGGCGCGGGCGAGCTTCACCGTGCTGGTCTGGAACGCGCACCCGGAGGGGATGAGCGCGTCGTAGCAGGTCAGCCGGTACAGCGTGCTGGCGCAGCTCGCGCGGAGGAACGCCACTGCCGCCGGCGGCGCCACGCATGGCGGCGCCGCCGGGTGTCCGCCTTGGCTGTCGCCGGAGAAGCCGACGACAGTAGTGCGACGACGAAGACGAAGAAGACGGCGGTCATGGGACGATGACGCGCCATTGTTGCGACTAGAGGACGCCGTGGCCGGCTTTGCGGTGGATATACATAGTGGTTTCAAGGACAGGTTTAGCAGCGAATTGTATGGCTAGGATTATGAGGTTGGTGGTTAATTAGGGCAATAAATGGAGAAAAACAGAAGCTTGAGGTTTTCTTGGTACGCCGTTTTTATCGTTGCCATCTTGAGATGAACATGTTTAATTAATTAGGGCGTGCATTACCGCTGGTCAACTTTGTAAGACAAGGCAAAATGATGACAACTTGTTTTATTCTAAATTAAGTTATTGTTATCTCTAGTGTTGTATTAACATGTTCTTTGGATGCATATATGGCGGTTCCTTCTTGTACATACTCCGTATATATATATGCAAAGAATAATTACAGCTTTAATTTCTCTGTACAAAATGTGAACAATCTACGCTTAAATAAGTCAGCGGTTGAATAAAGTTTATTCGTGCACATTTGTTCTTTTTTCAGTATATCATTTATGACACAGTATTTTTGTGGACTTATATATGGAGGACGCACGTACGATCTGCGAGTTAATTAAGCTACTCGACTTAGTTTGAAACAGATCAGTTACTTAATTCTATGAATAAATTAAATATTTTGATAAATAACCTAAAATAATTGGTCTAACCAATACTAACGTACACACTCTACTCGTACAAGCACCTTCCAAACTTAAGTTTTTTAAAAATATATTTACAGACACATGGAGCGAATAATCTGATTTAATAATTCGATAAATAATCTGAAAGGAACTAGCCTAAGCCAATAGGTGAGATGATTGCTAGTTTGTGGAATAAATCACTGCTTCCACCGAATAAAAAATTCAAAATATGCTAGAGTGAATCAGGATCTTCCCTGCCTGCTGCAATGATGTTTTGTGTGCCAAAAAAGAGTGGAGGCCTAGGACTCGTGTATCCTATCTTACTGTAAAGTTATAACCCACTAATTCTAAAGCTCAACATGTAAACATGTCATCTGCAACACCATCTATAAATCATTGAATTCTACAAATCAATGTCCAATCATCTTCCTTCATATTATTTTTCATGACCATGGTTGAGGTAAGGATCATAGATTTTTTTTTCTTACATTCCATTCCGAAATAAGTTCATCTGAGGTCCCTTAATTTTCCAATAAATCTAATTTTCGTCCTTCAACCTCAAAAACAGATACAGCCGATCCCTGAGCTGTCAAAACTAGTGCAACCGAGGTCCTTTGGCGGTTTGGAAGACGGTTTTAGCTAACATGGCGCCTATGTGACTGGTTTGACTAGGTCACCGTCCCACGTGGCATTGACGTGACGCTTACGTGGCAACTATATCTCAGCTACACAAAAAAATAATTTAAAAACTATATCTCAGCGCCACGTCAATGCCTCGTGGGACGAAGATCTAGTCAAACCAGCCACGTATGCGCCACGTTAGCGAAAAACGCCTTCCAAACTGCCAAGGAACCTCGGTTGCACTGGTTTTGACAGTTCAGGGACCGGTTGTGTCTGGTTTTGGGGTTGAAGGACGACAATCGGATTCGGTGTAAAATTTAGGGACCTCAGATGAACTTGTTCCATTCCTGTATGGAGTAGTGTCAGTCCACTGGTGGTTGGGCCATCCCCATCCTTCTCTCTCCACATGAGCTATCGGCACTACTAGAAAACTCATTTTCAGCGTCGTAGGGGATCGATTTTCGCAGGCGGGCATGTAATTCGGAGCCAAAACTCTGCCGGCAAAAAAAGTACCCAGGGTGGAGGGGACGGTCCGCCTGCGAAGATTAATCTTTGCATGCGGACCATATAAGCGTCGCCTGCGACGATCGATCTTCGCAGGCGGCAGACGTCGTGTGCCTACGAAGATCGATCTTCGCAGGCGACGCTTATATGGCCTGCCTGCAAAGATCAATCTTCGCAGGCGCCGCTTATGTCACGCTCGGAATTTCTATCCAAAATTCCAAACGCTTACATGTGTGTAAACCCTCATCCAGGAATCAGCCGAGGCACACAATAACAAATTGATAATAGAGTACAATTATTACTCTAATTAATAAGCGAATATAAAGTCATTACAGAGGTAGATAGTTCCTCTCAAACAATAAAGTTCTAAGCAGCGGAAAATAAGATAAACGGCGCAGGCGACTCCATTCCACAAGCAGCTTGACCAGGACTACGCCTAACCCTCCACACCTTCAGCATCACTCTAGAACTCCTCCTCTGATGAATGATTGCAAGGTGAGTATATGACATACTCAACAAGCCACGCAGCAAATATGCAGATGCAAGGGATAACAAAGGATGGCATAATATAGTCTCATTTTGCATAAATGGCATTTAACAAATACTTCAGAATTTAATAAAACAGTAAAGTATTTAATTAAACAATATTAATCCAACGCTATACAACATACCCGTTGCATAGGCCCAACCATTCCGAGCAACCATTCCCGGCTGCACAGTTTTATCTCCAAACCAGGAATATACCATTCCAAACCAGGAGCTAAACAAGTTATTATCAATTACAGCATCATTTATTATGGTGAGAAGTATGAGACTAATCACGAAAGACATTGTTCGACCAGCCCATAACCGCGGGCACGGCTATTTGAATAGTTTTACTCTGGCCAGAGGTGTACCACTGTACCCACAATACATAACCTCAACATCATGTCAACCATGCGTCGCGATACTTAACAAGTACCCGAATAGAGATTGTGACAATATCCTCTGCATAACACAAATCAAAGCAGTGTACCGTTCTCGAATCATAATCACCCCCTTGTAAACAAGGCATGGACTCCCCAGCGACCCCCGTGAGCTTATCTCCAACACTTCACAATCTGGTGCTCTACAATGAACCACACTATACAAAAGGTAAAGCCGTTGCCCACGCTGGCTTATGGTGACGGTTAATGTTTCACAACCGAAAATCGTGAACCGGTCCTTAATTGTCATGAGCACGACCATCAAAACCATGTGCTCACAACTCACCATTATCATGTTTTAGTTGGCATCTTAATTAATCATCCTATCATGATTAACCATCATGAGCTATCATTAAGCCATCATTAAGTAATAGTGAATCATTAATTATCCCATTCATATGAGCTAGAGTCTCTAAGCATGGCTAAGCATCCTAATTACTTTAGCTAAAATCATATAATGTTCTAGCTAATCCAATTATTAACCAGGTGACAAAGTATAGGTAATCAATATCAAAGGGCTATAACAAAAGCAATAGGTTATTCCCACCCAATGACATTCAAAAATAAATGCAATAGTTGAATAGAAACAATAGCTTTAAACGGGATCAACATGCTCAAAGGGTTGTTTGGGATCTGTGTGACTTGCCTTGCTGGCCTTGGAACTCTTCAAAGTCTTCTCCTGCAAACTCAGACTCTCCGTGAACGTCGGAATCTAAGCATAAAAGAGCAAAATCACCAAAACAGTACATAAACAATCGTAAACAGCACATGTGGATATTTTTAACATGTAGATCTCAATTTTAGAAAAATTTAGAGACTTGAACCAACTAAATCCGAGCTAAGATGAATTAGTTATGAATTTTTAAAGATTAAATCGGATTAAATCATTTATTTAGATTTTAATTGAATTATGACGCAATAAAGAATTATTTTTGAAAAGGAAAAATGATTTATTGCGTCAGCGGCTCGGGTTCATGGTGGACCGGGTGCACGGAGACGGTCTACGGAACGAACGACCGAGATCTAATCTAGCCCAAAACGAACGGCCGGGATCTAATCGATCTACCGCGGGTCTACGGATGACGCGGCGCTGACGTCAGCGATGACGTCATCACCGGCGACGGCTCAGCAACTCACGCTCGCCGGCGAACGACGGCGCGGCGGCGCAAACGGAGGACACCTACGCGTAGAGGGCGACGCGGCGAACTCACCGAGGGCTCAGACGACGATGGACGGCAACGGACGGCGACGGCGGCGAGGTCGAAGCGGCGGAGGTGCACGGGTCGACGACGACAGCGATGCTCCAGCGGTCTTCGGCGAAAACGGAGGATGGGACAAGAACGGCGATGACTTGGCGAACCCGACGGCGGCCTTCCCGAGCGACGACGACGACCGGAGCGGCGGCGGCGCACGGCTGGACTTGCGGCGGCGACGGCAGCGCAAAGGCTAACGCGGAGGCGGCGCTACAAGCGGCGGCGAGCTAAGGCGAGGTGGCGACGGATGGAGGAGGTCTCGGAGGTCCTTATATAGGGGCTAGAGGGCGGCGATGGAGGCCCATGGCGGCCGGCGGCGAGAAGGAAGGTTTAAGGTTAGGAGGGAAAAACGAATCCGAATCGAGCTCGAATCCAACAATTTCCAAACGAAATTAGATGAAGTTTCTATAGGAGAAAAGATAGAGGAGATCAAGAGGATCATTTCCCCTCTACCAATTTGACTGGATCGGGAAAGGGGCGACGGAATTTGGAAGGGGGCGGCGGCGGCTTGTGCGCTAAGGCGCGGCTGCGGCGCGAGGAGGAAGACGACGACCATGCAGGTGGGCCCCACCTGTTAGCGGGAGAGAGGAGGGAGAGCGGGCGGCTCAGCTCGGGGGGCTGGATGGGCCGGGCTCTAGCAGGCCGAAGATAGAGAGGGAGAGAACTGGGCCGACTTTCGGCCCAAAGCCAAAAGGGAGATTTTAAAACCTTTTTATATTTAAATTATTCATGAAATGCAATTCCATTTATTAAAAATACTTTCTTGGCTCAAATAAATCCCAGAAAAATCTAGGAACTATAGAATCAAGTGAAGTATTTAATAAAATTTTATCTGGCCCACTTTTATATTGGAATTTAGCACTTAAAATTAGATCTTTTCTTCAAGGCTTTTAAAATCATTTCTAATAATTTCATTTAAACAACAATTTATACATTTTGGGATTTGTAGGGTGTGACAGCTTATATGGCCCGCCTGAAAAGATGCCCCTATATAGTCTTCTTCCTCCCCGAGCCCTGTTCATTCTCCCCGAAGTTTCTCTCTCCTAAAGTGACTTAAATATAGGGGGGAGGTTTTGACTTCAAATCTTCGGGTGATTTTTCTACGGTGCTTAGATCTACTTATTTCCACACTAGGTATGTAATTTTTTAAGCTTTTAGACCTTAATTTGTGATGGATTTATGCATGCAAAATTGTGAAGGAAGAACTCCATGTTTTTTAATTTTATTTCTTTTGATATGCTGATGTTAGATGTATGTGTAATACTTGATGCCTCTTGTTGTAGTGGTTTCATGTGGTAACATAAATTCTCAATTTTTTTTTTATTTTTGCTATCACATCCACCTCTTAGTTCTAGATCTAGATCTAGATCTTGTCATATATAGAGAGAGAAAAAAATTTTTAATGTCTATTTATTCGGTGCAATAAAAAAATAGTATAGTTATAGTATTTTGTAATATGCCGATGATCTGATTTTGTTAGATTTTCCTAATGTACTAATTTGGCATGTCCGTGTAAAAAAAATTGAAATAAACTTTGATTTTTTATTAATTTACACTTAACCTTTAGTTAATTAGTTTTGAATAGCGATAAGTTTTTTCAATAAACCCTACAAATTTGGTATTAATTGTGCAAATATTTTATGTGCATTTTTTTAGAGATATGGAAAGTCGGGAATGGATGTATCATTGGCCGAGGCTTTTGTCTCCATATAGCAACGAAGTGTCTAAATTTATTGGTATTGCCAAGGCACACGCTGAGAAGAACAATATGAGGAAGATAATTTGTCCATGTGCTGACTGTAAGAATGAAATAGTCTGGGACTTCGACGATGCTTTTAAAGTGAAGGAGCACTTAGTAACTCGTGGATTTATGGACGAGTACGAAATATGGACACGTTATGGCGAAGAACAAGTGGACAGGCCTGAAAATGTAGTTCCGACACAAGTTGAAGACATGGTGCATGACGATGGTTCTGTTGAGGACAAAATCGACCTAGAGGAAATGTTACGTCATGCAGAACCCGAGGTGCTGATGGGGTCGGCCAGAGAGTTAAATAACTTTGAAGCTTTACAGAAGGCAGCAAAGGAAGTTTTGTACGATGAATCGAAGGGCTGTGACAGTGAGTTCACAACACTATGGTCAGTTCTTGAACTTATGAGGTTAAAGGCGAGACATGGATGGTCTGATATCAGTTTCGACAGTCTGTTAGAACTTCTGCAGAAAATGCTCTCGAGGCCTAACTCACTGCCATCCAGCACATATCAAGCAAAGAAACTCATATGCCCTCTTTCACTTGGTGTGGAATAAATTCATGCGTGCGTAAATCACTGCATACTGTATAGGAAAGAGTACGTTTTTTTAGATGAATGTCCAACATGCGGTACTAGCCGGTACAAATCGAATAGCAATACTGGCCTAGAACCGTCTGACACAACTGAGGGACGACAGAGAAAAATCCCGCAGCTTGTGATGTGGTACCTTCCTGTCAAAGACCGCATTAAACTGATATACTCAAACCCACGAGATGCGGAACTAATGCACTGGCATGAAGAAGGGCGCAAGAAGGATGGGATGATTCGACACCCGGCAGATGCTCGTCAGTGGATAAACTTTGATGCTCAGTACAGAGAGTTTGCTAAAGACCCACGGAACATTACATTTGCCCTGAGTACTGATGGAGTTAATCCTTTTGGAGACATGAGCAGCTCACATAGTACTTGGCCAGTGCTTCTCACCATGTATAATCTTCCTATCTGGCTTTGTCAAAAGCAAAAATACGTACTACTCTGTATCCTCATACAGGGACCCCGTCAGCCTGGTATTGATATTGACGTATTTCTTGAACCATTGTTGGAAGATATGGCTGATTTATGGAAAGAGGGATTGAAAGTGTGAGAGGAGTACTTAAGGGAATACTTCACAGTGAAGGCCATCATCTTCGTGACCATTAATGATTATCCAGCAATGTTTTCAGTTTTAGGTCAAATTAAAGGTAAAACAGGATGTGCGATCTGCTTGAATGGAACGTTCTATAGGTATCTCCCGGGTTCCAACAAGCTTGTGTACATGCGGCACCGGCGGTTCCTACGCACAAATCACAAGTACCGCAAGATGAAGGCGGAGTTCGATGGCACTGAAGAGACTGATCCTGCACCAAAACCAACATCGGGAGAAAAGGTGTGTGCAATGACAGAAAATTGTTTGCAAGTTTGGAAAAGTGACTAAGAAACCATCAAAGGG